AGACATTGGCCATACACCAGTTCACTAGAAGTAGCATGTAACTCTGGTTTATATGTTGCTCTTAAGCCAAGGAGTATAGTAGGCAATCTATCCGTCCAACGATCTGTCAAATGGGCTTTTATGGCTGATTTTAATGTGCGATGAAAATTTTGAATTAACCCATTAGATTGGGGGTGAAAGGCACATGTATGTACATGTTTACATCCCAAAAAAATTGCAAGTGCTCGAAAAAGCCTAGACTCAAATTGTCGGCCCTGATCTGTAGTAATGATTTCTGGAACTCCGAAACGGGAAATCCATACCTTATAAATAGCTGATGCGACTGTTTCAGCTTCGATGTTTTTTAATGGCTCAAGTTCTACCCACCGAGTGAACCTATCTATTATTGTTAGGCAATATGTATAATTTTCTGATGGGGGTAGCGGTCCGATTAAATCTAAATGTATGTGGTAAAAACGCTTATTTTCTACCGGGATCCGTTTAACCTCACTTTTTGTATGTTTGGAAATCTTAGACCTCTGGCACGGTATACACGCTTGTGACCATTTAGAACAGTCAGAATTTATATTAGACCAAACAAAACGATCGGTAACTAATTTTACTGTACTTTTAGTTCCCGGGTGGGCTAAATTATGTAATGCATTAAAAACAATTTTACGTTGAGATTTAGGAATATATGGGCGGATTTTTCCTGTAGCGATATCGCAATATAATTCCACCTCACTATCTGGCAACATTAATTTGTTAAGTTTTTGTGAAGAATTCTGGTCTGTTAATATTGTTTGAAGTTCGGGATCGCTGCTGCTCTTGTGCTATTTTTTTAAAATCGATTGGCGATGGGCATGATATTGCTTCAATACGTGACAGCATATCGACTGGAATATTTTCTATCCCTTTAATATGGCGTATATCTGTGGTAAATTGGCCAATGTAATCTAATTGGCGCAGCTGCCTCGGAGTGCATTTTTCATTTTTCTGCATAAAAGCAAATTCGAGTGGCTTATGATCNGTAAATGAACAACAACAGCCATCTAAAATAGTTGGATTTAATTAAAAAATTAGAGCATCTCAAATCTCTTCATCCTGAAAATGCATCTAAAGATCTAGAATTTTTTACAAAGAAGAAAGCCCAGTTTTCGAAATCTGGAACATTAACCAAACTTGGATTTGGTATTCCACAAAAACCTTTGGTGAGGCATCTTTCAGAGTTGCATATCATATTGCCAAAAGTAAGAAACCCCATACTATTAGAGCAGTGTTTCTTAACCTGTGGTTCATGGACCCCTTGGGGGTCCATGGGTCATATTTTGGGGGTCCGCCGACTGATTTTAAAATGTTTGCATGAATATTTAGCCAGCAGTGGTAACCCGGACCTTCTTCATCCTTAGCGCGCTCTGTGATTTTGATAAGGGATGGATGATTTTATAATTCGTAATTGCATTAAAAGAAATCAGTATTTTCATAAATCTAGTCAATTGAAAAATATCAGTTCATCATCGTTACAAGCTGGAAGTTTTTGTTTCACTAAAGCTAAAGAACAAAAATTAACTTATATAAAATGGAAAGAAATTCTTATGCACATTCTTTATTATTTATTAAAAAATAAACAGTAATGTTGATATTTTTTCTCAATATTTTTATTCTTTGAGTAAATAGTTTGCTATGGCGAAAAATTATTTTTATATACATTTATAAAATATTATTCCTATTTCAGTAATAAAGAACTAAATAAATGCATATGCTTGATTTTAAATACTCTTATAACATAGATTAAGGCAATTAAAGTAAAGTTAATAAAATCTGCTGGAATATATATATACATATGTATTTAACTTTAAATTTTTTGTCGAAAGAATGAATTTAAAGTTTTGCTGGGATCACAAGTTTTGTAAGAGGCTACTGCTATGCTGAAGACAATTACATGCTTTGAATTCATGCTAGAATAAATAAATAAAAATTATCAATAACTTAAGCTGACTTACATTTTAAAAGCAAAAAATATTTATTCTACATAAAAAATTGATCCAGCATTTCTTTCACTTAAGATGAAATTAAATCTTCGAAGATAACTTGAAGTATACATTAAAATTAAGATTAATATAGTTAAAAAATGAAAAAACGAATTTATTTTGTATTTATAACGCATCATTTATAAGCAATACCATACACTTTTTTTATTGAACTAAAAAATCTTAAATATTCCGAGCTAGAAAATTTCGTCAAGTATTAACAATGTTTCAGTGGGTACCATTGAAATTCAACATTATAAAAATACTTTATTTCAAATCCACATTTTTATTAAGCGATATTAGGGTGCAATGTTTTATACAGATAGCTTTACACCATCTAAAATAGGTCCCGCAGTGGACTGATCGCTAAGACACGGTTCCCAGCAGATCACCGAAGTCAAGCATCACTGGCTGCGGTCAGTGTGCGGGTGGGTGACCTCTTGGATCAGCCTGCGTAGGGACCGAGGGTGTGCGGTATGGGTCCTCGTTAAACTGTTCTACCGTAAAGTGCTCGACTTCGCGTGCAGGTCGTCGGGCTACCGAAGCGGGGGTGCCATCCCCTCTGCAGAGGATCAAAATTGCGATGGCATGTCTTAGGGGTGTTTCCCAGACCGTCGCCAATAGCTAATTGTGCAGCTCTAGTGCGACGTAAATGAACAACAACAGCCATCTAAAATAGTTGGATTTAATTGAAAAATTAGAGCATCTCAAATCTCTTCATCCTGAAAATGCATCTAAAGATCTAGAATTTTTTACAAAGAAGAAAGCCCAGTTTTCGAAATCTGGAACATTAACCAAACTTGGATTTGGTATTCCACAAAAACCTTTGGTGAGGCATCTTTCAGAGTTGTATATCATATTGCCAAAAGTAAGAAACCGCATACTAGAGAGACATTAATTAAGCCATGTACGCTGGAAATGGTTGAATTAGTTTGTGGACTGGAACAGAGAAAAAAACTTGAGGCTATTCCATTGTCCAAGGATGTGTTACATTCAAGAATAGTTGAAATTTCTTGCAATATCTTGAAACATCATCGATGAAATGAAAGCATCGCCATTTCCCTTTAGTATGCAACTGGATGAAACTACAGACATCTCGAATTGTAGTCAACTTCTTGTTTTTGTTCGTTACGTGTTTGCTGATACTATCAAAGAAGAACTCTTATTTTGTGAGCCTCTTTTGCAAACTACAAAGGCAGTTGATGTTTTAGCGATTTTAAATGTTTTCTTTTTCGAACACGACTTCGACTGGAAACAAAAACTTCATTCACTTTGTACGGATAGAGCACCTGCGATGCTTGGCAATAAATCTGGTTTTGCCCATTTGGTAAAAAAAGAGGCTCCTAATGTTATTGTTACATATTGTTTTTTTACATAGACATGCACTGGCTACAAAAACTCTTCCAACCAGCTTAAAAGAAGTATTGTCAATAGTTATTAAAACTGTGAATTTTATTAGAAGTAGAGCTCTTAATCATTGTCTTTTTAAAACACTGTGTCAAGAAATGAACGCAGAACATGAGGTACTTCTGTACCACACGGAAGTGCGCTGGCTGTCACGAGGGCAGGTTTTGAAACGAATTTTCATGTTGAAGACAGAAGTATCACTTTTTTTAGAAGAAAAAGATAACTCACTCTTCGAATATTTCAAGAAAAAAGATTTTATATGGAAATTGGCTTACCTGGCAGACATTTTTAACCACATGAACGATATATGTCTTTCAATTCAAGGGCCTGATACAACAATTATGGATGCCACTGAGAAACTACAGGCATTTTTATTGAAAATGTCAGTTTGGAAAATTAGAATTCAAAATGGGATGTATGCAACCTTTCAAATGTTGGACGAAGTGCTTTTTGAAAATGGATCTCAGCAAGATAGTTTGTTATTGAATAACTTGAAAAATGAAATCTGTGAACACCTGGAAGTACTTCAAGTTTCATTTGAAAAATATTTCAATTGGGATGGAATAAATATAAAAGATGAGTTGTGGATTCGTAATCCTTTTCTTTGTGATATTGACTGTATCGATGACATGAACCTTGCCAAAGATGAGATAATTGATTTGAAAGCAAATTCCTTGTTAAAAATGGATTTCGATTCAAAAACTCTTGGAGAGTTTTGGTCTTCTTTAAGAGAAGCCTACCCATTGCTTGCAAAGCGAGCTATGGCAGCCATTATTCCGTTTGCTACAGTATATCCTTGCGAAGCAGGATTTTCCACACTTGTCACAATAAAAACAAAACATCGAAATCGACTGAAAGTCGAACATGATATGCGCGTTGCTTTGTCGAAAACCATCCCTCAATTCAATCTGTTAATCAAGGAAAAGCAGCAACAGCCTTCACATTAAAAATTTTTATTTCTTCAAGTTTTTTATACTATTGAAATAAAAATATTAAAATAATTAAATAATAAAACAAAATGTATTTTGTAATAAATGATGTTTAAGCAATGTTTTTTTCACAGAGGGGTCCGTGACATACTTAAAATTTTTAAAGTGGTCCATTGTGCCAAAAAGGTTGAGAAACACTGCCCTATAGTCACCCGTTGGTCGAAAATCTCCATTCGGTTTTGGCACCATGTGCAAAGGATTCGACCAATTAGATTTACTGGGGCGACAAATACCCCGCTCCATCATAATTTGAAATTCCTTCTTTGCGATTACTAATTGTTTAGGATTAAGACGTCGTGGTCGTGCGAAAACAGGTTGACCTCTCGTTATAATTTTATGAACAGTGTTATGTTTTGGTTTATTTGAACCTGGATGTGGTTGTAAAATTTCTTTGTACTTATTTAAAATTTCATGAAATGCCATGTCTTTAGAAATCAATGTCACGCTTTTTCCAGAATAACGAATAATAGATCCTTGATTTTTTAAGTTAGTTATAGAATCTCTTAAGCAAGAATTTTTTAAATCTATCAATAAACCAAAATGTTTTAGAAAATCTGCACCGATTATAGGTTTGCTAACATTAGCTATTATAAACGTCCATTTGAAATCGCGGCGTAAATTTAAATCTAGAGAAATTACTTTGGTGCCATATGTTTTGATAGGCGAATTATTAGCTGAATATAAAACCATAGAGGGTGAGGAATTAAATGTTAGGTTTGACGAATACGGCAGCACGCAAACATCGCTTCCGCTGTCTATTAAATAATGACGTCGAGTTTTCGGATCATGTATAAAAAGACGACTAGAGCCCTGATTCCGGAAATCACATTGCGCCACATGTGATTTCTTCATTAGTTTTCCGAAAATTTACATGGTTGATTACATTTCTTTGCTTTATTTCCAAATTTTTGATGATACCAACATAGCTCAGTTTGCTCACGACGCGAAGTTTGCGAACGATATCTACCTTGCGAAAAATGGCGCGAGCGATAGCGCGGTTGACAGCTGCCGTAAGTCGGCTAACTTGTTCAGTAAGTGCGGCTATTTGTCCTTTCAATTTTGCAATTTCGGATACGTCATTTTTGACTG